CGAAAATATAACCGTCTAGTTTTTGGTTCTGGAATCCCCAATTTTTTTATTAAACCCCTACTTTCATGTAGGTAGTTGAAATCTCTTGCGATAATTCTAGCTGCTAAACGCTGAACAATTTCCAAGGGCTCAGTACGAGTAACAAAGCCTGAGTCATAGATTGCAGAGCAGTCATCAGTTTTCGGAATGACACAAGACATATAGAGTAGTTATCTTAACGAAGCAGGTGCATCTCGAAAAACTCAATTTACGGCTCCTAGTATACGTGATTAATCAATGGTTCTCTTAAAATATTCGGTTGACCAACGTCTGTTTAATGATTGGCACCAAAACACCAAAGTAGTGACGGTGATAAATGCTTCGTATCTGAACAGTAAGCTAGTTTCATTTTATAATCATTGACACAGCAAATACCTTGACTGTCATTAGCATTCGGTAAATCAGTTAAATTTTGATGATTCCATTTAATGCGAACGAATATTGATGATTGTGTTGGAATTAATTCATCTTTTGAATATAGTTCACCTTCATCGAGCATAATAGCAGTATCTTGTGCATTCGTTTGATCATTGTGTGCACTGCCTATCACATTATCCATTATTTTTAATATTACTAATAAATAGAAAATTCGCCTTCGATACAATGATATACAATGTTTGTCTCCTAGTTTGTATACTGCAAAACAGTCGAATATTTAATTTTTTCTATAGTATTGATTTAATATGAATTATAGCCCCTGGTATATGTACAGTTTACGTTGTCCTTTATAAATAACAATCTGCTTTTATAAACAGCACAATTTTTTCCTTTTAAAGAACAGTTATAGTTACGTCGAGTGTATTGTCATTCTTGAAAATCAGTCGGCAAATATATTATGAAAAAATAACAAAGCGTAGTATATATTAGAAAGAAAAGCGGAAGTTATTGAAAATGATTCTAGAAAAATTAGCGTTATAGATATTATAAGCGATATAACAGTATCAAAAAGAACCAATACTACACTGTATATTCAATAACATTCTTAATATCAAATGGCAACAACAGAAATACGACTTTTAGTGTTTCCATAGAATTATATTTTTCCGTGAAGCACACATATTCTGATTCATCGGGGTGCGGTGATCACGACACCTTTTAGTTCAATTAAAGCGCGCACATCTACACGAGGAAAAGCTCGAAATACTGAGCATGCGTCAAAAATCGAAAAAACACTACCTCGGCGAAAATTGGTTGTACTCTTTCCCGTCTTGTTCTAGAGCTCTGACGGTTTCTTTTCTGAATCCTTGAATGAAACTGATTCTGAAAATGTGTTTTAGAAAGGTGGAGTCCGCATAAGACGTGAAATTGGCCCACTAACTTTAGCCCCCCCTCCCAATAGATACGAAACTCATCAGAATCACCTCCGATCATCAGATCCCATAATCCCGACCCTTTCGAGCGCTTTCAGTCGAATATATCCGACAAAATCTACTCCAAAACAAGCAACGATTTCGCACCAACAATATAACTGTAAAATCAAACATTCTCCGTAACCATCGAACATTAAGCCTAGTCTAATACATGGTTCGACGCGCCGTGAAAAGCTCTACAATATATATCAATAGAAAGGTTAACGAAGCCCGGCAGCAGGGTTTAACGCTAGACTTTTCAATAGGTCGGTACTATGCCAATAGAGCTCCCATCCTATCCTAAAACCAGAATCTTAGAAAACCAAGTCCCAGAGTTCAACCTGGAAATTCGGTGCAAAAACGTCCGTCATGTAAAGCAAACATTTCTGTAGAAAATCAGACGCCTACCAGCTCTTTACGACATCATGTCTTCATGAAACGGCATTCAATTTCAAAACAGCCTGAAAACCCGAATTTTCGTAAAACTCCTTTTCGATAGTTTCTAAGAACTTTTTCTAAAAGCAAATATTGCTAAGAGACTCAGCATGATTGATTACCCAGAGTCCATTCGTTTTCAAGGCTACCAATAGTCACCAGGTGCTAGTCCTGGGACTCGTGGGAAATTCGATACAGCACCCAAGCCGCAGAAAATCAAGGTGCCGTTTGACTCCCGTCTTCAAGAGGAGATGCCGAGCTATCAGCGCATGAAAAAAAATCAATTAATCCTATTCGAAAAGTTTTACACACGACCTGATTTTTCAAAGATCTTCTAGAAAACCTGTTTCAGAAAACTCTTCAGAAAATAATTATGCTTGTGGAAACACGTCCACAAGTCTCTTCTTTCGCATGGAAAGAATCGGAGCGCTTTGGCTGCTTTCTATCAAAAATTATTCAAAAGACACCCACGGCTGTTCTATTTTGGCGTTTTTCTCAAAACTCGTTTTTGTTCGAACATGCCCAGTGTGGAATCCTTTTTTTAAATATACTTCAAGCTAGAGATCTCGGATTGGTTTTATTTTAAACTAGACACCAGCTGCGTGAGGTGCTGGGATCCGATTTTTGATT